ATGTACTTTCTAAGATTATTTAGACACCACTGACAAACGGTGAAGGAAAATATCGTGAGGAAACCTGGACTTGTAATTTCTAATTATAAGATTGAAATCGCCAACCCGCATTGAGCTTTTTTTTTAGGGGGGTGAAATCATCGAATGACTTGTCCCGCCTGGGTGAGGCGGGAGGGAGTGTCAGACTCTTACTGACTAAAAACCACCCCGTTCCTACTCCTGCGCGTCGAGCCGGAGCCCCGGTAACCCGTTAAGTCCTTGTTTCTACGCAGTGAAGTAGTAAGCCCTGGTGAAGTCACCCTACATCCACCCCACCCGGGGAGGACATGACCATATACTGCTGAGTCACGGCGGCAGATATGTGAATAATTCCGTTGTCGGAAGACGATGAGAACCCACATTGAGCTAGCGTGGTGATTAATGCTCAAACCTTCTCCGTGTTAGAAGAGGCATTGGGCAGCAGTGGCCACTTATTATAGACTGTTGATGATGTCTTTTTGTATTATGTATTCTCAACCATATATTATATACATTCTCTCAACTTTACCTGAATATATTTTTATATGGGGGAAAATTAGGCGCTTGCATTACAATAGAGGCCAATGGTAATGAAGGGCAACCGCCTAGGACTTTTTTTTTTAAAGGGGGAAATCATCGAATGACTAAAAACCACCCCGTTCCTTCTCCTGCACGTTGAGCCGGAGCCCCGGTTACCCGTTAGGTTCTCCGCGACAACCGCCTAGGACCTTAGGACCTATGGCATAGGTACTTATCAGAAGTGAACATCTATACAAATATGTATATAAAATTCTAGTGTCTGTTTGTAATATTAAAATAACCACTTTTTACTACATCCATATGAATATACATACGGCACACATACCAAAAACAACATATTTTTTTAAATGTTTATTTGTTTGTGCTGCCTCATCTCTGAAATGGCTGAACCAATTTTGACGGGACTGGTTAGTAGGTAGCTAATCTACTAAGGAGTAACATAGGCTACTTTTTATTTTGAGAAAATTGAAAAATAAAAAAGTCATATCCTAAAATTCATATTCGACGCGGACGAAATGGCGGGCAATAACTAGTATCACATAAAACTCCCACATGGCAAAATTAATAAAATAAATGTAGGTACTAATGATCCAATCTAAATATTGATTACCTGATTACCTATATAAAGAGCAATTAAACAAATAAATAAGTAATTTAAAATGGAATATGGTGTGTTCAACTAATGTGGAGTGACATTGAAGTGTCTCTGTGAGGCCGATTGATCGATTAGAAGTTTGGTTTGAATGTTTTGCGCGAATTTTGGGGTCTGTCAGAGTCAGAGAAAAACCATGTATAATTCTAACAGACAGCACACATAACATAACATCACGCCTTTTACCCTCGAAGTGGTAGGCAGAGGTGCACATTATACCACTATATATTTTCACTATTTATGTTATGAGTCCCATGTAATAGGGGTTGAGTCTATTGCCATATACCGGGCACAGTTCCAGACTCCGTGCTACTACTGAGAATTTTTTAAAAACCACAGTAATACTTTGTCCGACCCGGGAATCGAACCCGAGACCCCTTGCCCGGCAGTCGCACTTGCGACCACTCGGACAACGAGGCAGACTATAAAAAAAATATAGATTTTAAACTGTCAAATACCAAGCGGTCATCGGTGATCGCAACCTATTGTGTCTATAATTATATAAATTTTGTATTGCTCTTTCGTACGTAGCCACTTAGAATACGCATCACAGGTTTGGAACCCGCAGTATGAGGTTTATAAGTCCCGTATTGAGGGCGTCCAAAGAAAATTTCTTCATTACCTAGACTATAGAGCGCGGCAATACTCAGTTGACTATAACCACCGCTGTAAACGATACCACTTCCTTCCTCTGGACATGAGGCGTCGTATTGGAGACATAACTATGCTTATGCGTATCGCAAATGGCCATATTGACTGTCCTGAACTTGTTGCAAAATTAGCATTGCGCACGAACCTAATGGGATTACGTCAGCGACCCATATTAAGTGTACCCTTCACACCGACTAACTACACGAAAAACGTTTTTTCAATAAGAAGTGCACTTGATTTTAATAGACTGTCTAAGGAATTTGACATCGACTTATTCTGCACCAGTGTAGTATGCTTGCGACATCAAATCGCACAAAACTTCTTCGATGGTTAACTTCTTTTTCTAATTATTCTTCTAACAATTAATATTTGTTAGTAATTAATTGTCTTCTGTATTTTTTTTTTGTACCTTTTTGTTTTTTTTTCTTTTTATCTATATGTGGAGGCTTGTAATTGGCAATTTGTCAATATTATACTCTTATAAAATCATTTTCTATGTATTAGTCTGTAAGCCTTCTTAAAATAAATAAAATAAAAAATAAAATAAAAATAAAAATAATGACGGTACTCGACGAGTTAAATACGGAACCCACAGCGAAAATAAATCCCCCACATATTAAAATGACAGGTTCTTAAGTCAGAGATAAGCCAATAATTGATTATCGCAATAATTTGGTCGCGGCACTACATGTGTCTGCCCGTGGCTAGGTCGCGTGTCAATAGGTCAACTTCTATCACACAATGCCGTTTTGTATTAGATATTTGATAGTCGTGACTTCCTATAAAGGTGTATTATAAGGGTAGAAGACTTATTGTTTCGTGTTTATCAAGAAAATATTCTTTAGACATAATACCACGCCTAGTCAGAGGTGCACATTACGGCATTTAATGCCACTGTACAATGTAACATCCACTTTTCACTATTTATGTTATGAGTCCAATGTAATAGGGGGTGAGTCTATTGCCATATACCGGGCACATTTCCAGACTCCGTGCTACTATACTAAATACTTTGCCCGTACCGGGAATGAAACCCCGGCTGTCGTACTTGCGACCACTCGGCCAAGCAACGAGGCAGTCAGAAAATGTCCTAAATATTTCAGTTTCTACAAGAAATATTATATCTTCAACTTCATTGTATTGCCATAAAGCCGAAAATCGAAACACATTGGAGTACCTGCTATCCGCTAGACGAAATATAATAATAATAATAATACACCTTTCATTCTATGAAGGGTTAACCGCAAAAATACTACATGTTGGGACTTCATGCTCAGCAGCCTCACTCGGAAAGTGATGACCACTAAAACCCCAGAATATTTATACAAGTTAAACAACAAAAAAAAAATCAATGATCGTCTCAAATTGTCAACGTTTTTCTTAAATTTTTCGTAAACAAATTAAATTCTAAAAAAATCAAAAATTCACTATACTTATTATTATAGAAATAATGAGTAATAAACAACAATGATAACCTTGTAATCTTACCTAATAACATTATTTTCTTACCTATGTAGTAAGTGTTGTGGAGAGAGAATATAAAATAGGTACTCCTTTATTACCGCATACGATCTTTACTCTGTTATATCTGCAATAAATGGGAAACATGGGCATAGGATAAGGACATATTAAGCCAAGGTTTGTATAAGGATAAATTGTAACTTCCGTACATAGTTAAAGTAATATGCCTTGTATGTAACAGACTCATCTCCTATTATATTAGTATGTAGTACAGACTGGATTCGTAAGAAAACTAGTAAAAAAGTGACTGTTGAGTAGGTGTACATTGGATATCTACAATTGCTGTGAATATACGGGAAAGTATTCTCTTGTCTACTAGCTATACATATATAGCTAAGATCGTAGAGGTTGTTTTGTAATTGTGTCACCATGTGATTGTAAAGTAATAGTCATTATTTAGCTAAAAAGCTCAGGTTTCAAGTAAAATAATGCATCGTTGAAATGGAAACGTCAAAATTTTCAAATGTTACTGTCAGTGTCAATTGAAAGTGACGTCTGTAGTAGAGTCCATTTCACGAAAGAAGTCCCGCGGACAATTGTGGAACTAAATTTGACAAATGGGGAGTTCGGCCATGTTGTCGTTTGTCGATGTTGTCAAGGTGGGTTTGTTGTGGTAGATATTTTGTGAGTTTATTATTAAATTAGTGCATTATAAGGTTTATTTACGATGCCAAAAGTTGTAAAAAGTGCAGGTCGAGAAATGATATTAAAATTGAAAGAGTTCTGTGAAGCGGAACAGAAGAATCGCGGCGTTTTAATACCATTAGACAATGTTCGCAAAAGAGTTGCCGCCATAACAGGTAAATTTTGGGGCTGCCATATTAAACATATTTTTTACCAATTAGACTTAAGTTTTTTTAATGAGGAATTAACATAACACAACAAAAATTTGTAAAATTGTATTCAACAATAATATAATTAAATGCGGAAAAAGTCACTGTTAGATTTTTTTTAATTGTTCATTTTATTGCAGGTGTGTCGGAGAGTCGTGTGTTATAAACAGACGGGTAGCGGTTAAAAACGTGGGCCAAGATCCAAAAGAAATTGTACGCCTAACAGAAGAGGCGTTCGAGACTGTTACAGCGGAAGATTGGGCAGTTCAATGCAAACATGTACAGCATTTGGAGGAAGAATATTTTTAAAAAATGATGGTCTTATGGATGAAGAAATGCATCGATTTATTATATCTACGGCTAGTGATAATGAAACAGAATCTAATTCTGTCTCTATTCACTCTTCTGACAGTGATCATAGTATGACCGATCATAATTATTCAATAAAACTTTAATAAAACTTTTTAAATGTTATTTTATGTTTCTAATTTGATGTTGGTTGAACATCTTTATCTTTATCTTTATAAAATGGAATTTTATATTTTAGAAATTACAGGAAGATTAATTTTTCACTAATCTGACCTTAGCAGTATAGACATAAATACCTATATAAAAAGACATTATTTTTAAAATATTCCTCGAACTGTTCGAGTACGTAGTTAATCAAACTAATGTCAATTTCTCCTGATTTCCCCATACTATATAAATTTAACCGTGGCAACATTATGTCGCGCGAATACAGCGCTGCGTCTGCGGGACTTCTTTCGTGAAATGGACTCTATTGTTTTGGACGCCTGGTGAGCGTCGAAAAATCTGTAATTTTGGTGTGAATAAAATGATATCAATAAACATTATTATTACAAAATAGTAGTTTATAAGACGGAGAACGTGTAAGACACAACATGAGTAACATTTACATACAAGAACCACCTGCATTGGGCAAGGTAATTAAGAAACTCAATATTTTTGATATTATGTGAAACGAATTATTACTTTATAATTAGATATTTAGAATACCCTTTACTCTTAACATATCATAAGTGCATTTCTTACAAAATCGTGTTTATTTAGTTTGAATTGTAATTTTCAAAAAGGTTAGTTTTATCGAAAGAGGAAAACGATATGATTTAGAAAAGTAGTTTTTATAATTAAAGTCATATCAATTGGTTATAAAACGATTACATTTTCTATGTACTATGTAGAATTGATTCATCTTTTGATATAAATGTAAATAGTGACCATGATTAATTTTTTTTTATTATACATACTTACATTTGCAATCAGCTCCAGGGCTATGAGCAAATCTTCTGTGCCATCTGTCATGCGGAGTGACTTCCCATTGGAAGCTCTACTAATCTGCTGCCTAGAGCTACTGTCTGTATTCGAGTTCTAGGATGTGGTGTCGTTTTAACACATACTTATATTATAAATGTGAAAGGTTCTTTGGTTGGATATTTAACCGTCAATCATGCTGAAACTACTAAATGAATTTTGATAAATTTAGTATACAGGCAGGGTATGGACAGACTTAGGTGATAGGATACTTTTTATCCTGCTCCCATGGGATAAAACAGAATCATATCCTAAGTGGATGAAGTCGTGGGCAACAGCTAGTGACTATACACCTAATTTAATTAAACTGCTTGTGTTATTTATTAAATTAAATTAAATGTCGTGGTGGCCCGGAGGTTTAAGACGCCCACTTCTCATGCATGAGGGTGCGGGTTCGAAACCTACCAACGGCAAGTACCAATGTTACTTTCCGAGTTATATGTACTTTCAAAGATTATTTAGACACCACTGACAAACGGTGAAGGAAAACATTGTGAGGAAACCTGGGCTTATAATTTCCAATTATAAGTTTGTAATCGCCAACCCGCATTGAGTAAGTGTGGTGATTAATGCTCAAACCTTCTCCGTGTGAGAAGAGGCTTTGCTCAGCAGTGGGCATTTATAGGCTGTTGATGATGAATTAAACTGCTTGCTACAGCAGATTCTAAGTTTTTCTTTGACCTCATCCCAAGCAGGTAGAAGAAGTTATATTTTTTATTGATAACGGGTTGATGTTTGGCCACTATCTCGCCTGGTGATGTAGGCTATGATGGAGCATGTCTGCCTAAAAGCATTCATTCATTTCATTGATGATGTTTCAAAATCAAAGTCAAATTATTTATTTCAATTAACCATTAATTAGGCACTTTTGAAACATCAAAAATTGAATTATCCGTCAGTCTGTCTATTGCTGAAGCTAGGCGCTCGTTCTGAAGTGTAGTTTCAAATCGAGAAGAACGAGTAAGAAACTCCTTCGTTACTGTATCTATAAAATAAAAATTGTTTTACAATCTCATTGATATATTACCTGATTTAATGAAACTGCTAGCCCATATATCCCCAAGCGGTCACCGGTGACCACTCTCCACTAACTACATTATAGACCTTATTTCCAATGTTTAGAGACTACTTTTGTATGAACAAATTTAGGGGATGATTTTCAACAGGCTTAGACAGGCCTGTACTACTATTTTATTTTTTATAATTTCAGGTGTTATTAAAAACTACAGCGGGAGAGATTGACATAGAACTATGGACCAAGGAGGCTCCGAGGGCTTGTCGCAACTTCATACAATTGTGTATGGAAGGATATTATAATGGTTAGTCGTATTCTAAATTGTAATCAATGTTATTGTATTACTTATTTATTTATTGTATTTTAAGTGTTGGACGCTTGCATTGTGTTACGCACCCCAATCTCCAAAATCCCTGAATCTCTAACAATCCTCAAATTCCTAATCCCCAAAAGGCCGGTTGTAACGCCTCTTGTGTTCCGGGTGTGCATGGGTGACGCTGATTGCTTACCATCAGGTGATCCGTATGCTTGTTTACTGGCTTATTCCATAAAAATTTTAACTTTCGATTCTCCAAATTAACTTCGCTAAAAAAAACTCAAACGTCAGTAAACCATACCAAAACTAGAGGGAATTATTGTGAGCAGATTAACATATAGTAACAAGTTTCTCCATTATAGGCCTTATTTCCGGTGTTTAAAGACTATTTTTGTATGAACAATTGTTGTGGATTTTTCATAATTGTAGATACACAAGGTTAAATTGTTATTTTGTTTATTTCCAGGTACAATATTCCACAGAGTTATACCAGGGTTTATCGTGCAGGGTGGGGACCCCAACGGTGATGGTACGGGTGGAGAGTCCATCTATGGTGCCCCTTTTAAGGTAAAATAACGTTACAACAGTCAGTCAAGGGTCAAAAGTCCACACGGCAGTGTTGTGAGTGATGTTCACACGGCAATGCGAAAGTAATTTCATATTAATGTGCATAACAACGCGTGCGTACGTATATACACACGCACGCGTACGCACACGGATAAAAATATGCGTGTTCATGTGTGTATAAGCGCTGCAGCGCAACCGATAGTAGTCTTACGGTGGCAGTGGACTTTTGACCTTTGACCGTAACTATTATGACTTATGACACACACAAAAAGATTGGTTCGTTTATCTTCATAAACAGTCTGTGGTAGTTTTCTAGAAAACTACAGCTAATAAATTGTGAAATGGAAATGTCTGGCAACATCAACGTTGTTGTAGACATAAGGCGCACTTGTCGAGCGAAATCGGCAGGTTTCGCTTGACATGTCATCGATACATATCGTGGGACATGTCCCCATGTGTATCCTTCTCTTTAAGTTTACCTATACTTACTACTTAAAAAAGTTCCAAATACTACTATTTGGAACTTTTTTGTTTATGTAGATACTCATTTATTTATTTATTGTTTATTGGTTAACACGGTATACACCAATTACATTAATCTAATTAAATTAAAAAAGAACTAAATTAAAGTACATGATATAAAAAACTACCTCATTGGCCGAGTGGTCGCAAGTCCGACTGCCGGGCAAGGGGTCTCGGGTTCGATTCCCGGGTCGGGCAAAGTATTACTGGGTTTTTAAAAATCCCAGTAGTAGCACGGAGTCTGGATAGTGCCCGGTATATGCAATAGGCTCACCCCCTATTACAAGGGACTCATAACATAAATCGTGAAAAGTGGGTGTTACATTATACAGTGGCATTAAGTGCCCTAATGTGCACCTCTGCCTACCTCTTCGGGGAAGACAGGCGTGATGTTGTGTTATGTTATGTTAATGATATAAAAAAGGTGTTAAAAGTAAATGAGAAACTGTAGTAAAATTAAAAACATTACTTAAAGTTGGACACACAGAATACATGTTAAACAAAATACAATACAACTTAAATTTAAAATAACAATAACAATAATAATAATAACAATTATAGTCATATACATGAGTATATGACTATAATATTATTGTTAATATATGAATATTACAATCCACAACTGGCAAACAAACTACACCCACACAAAATTCAGAACCACACACAGATAGTGTCGGTAGCAGAAGAGGAAGAAGGAGATTTAGAAACCAAATTTAGAAGGGGGCTATGAGCATCGTTTTTCCTGCGGGTCGCGGGACGCGGTGCCCATTTTCACCGGGTCAATCCCGAGAAGGAGAAACCTCCAACATTCATAGTCATATACTCATACCATCAACAGGATGAGTTCCACTCCCGACTCCGCTTCAACCGGCGAGGTTTAGTAGGCAGTGCGAACGCGGGCAAGGATGACAACGGCTCACAGTTCTTCTTCACGCTAGCTGCAACACCGGAGCTGCAGAACAAACATACAATCTTTGGGAAGGTCACTGGTAAGTTAAATTTTTATAATCTTTTAAAATAAACATATTAGAAACAAATAAAAAAAGAAGAGAAGAAAACAGTTTAATTGCACCGTTACAGAAATTAAATAACAAAACAAAAAATAAAAAAAAAAACGGAATAATGTACACGGTGCAAAAACACCAGTGCTCAGTAAATGCCGTGACCCGACCGCGATAGATCGAGTCGCGGCGCTGATTTTCAGCACTAGTACGTTGCTAGAACATCATCCTTACTATTATAAATGGGAAAGTGAGCTTGTTTGTTTGTTTGTTCCGCTTTCACGCCGTAACTTCTAAACCGATTGCTTTGAATTTTTGCAGGCATAAAGTTAGAAGTCCGGAATAAATAATAGGGTACTTTTTATCCCGGAAAAGGAGAATGCCCATGGACAGTACTCTTGATAAATTACTTGTGTCTCAAAATCTCTAACGGCATGAAACATCTAAAATAAAAATATATTTTTAAACAGACTTTGAATGATATTTACATTGGGATAGTTTTTTGAAAATTAATTAGTAATTTTATGTTTCCGAGGTTACAGTACGCCATTTATAGGTGTGTCTGTGCCGACACATGTCAAATGACAGCATGGCAGTTTACGCACATAGACTATCGATGAACGATCCTCCTTTTTCGATCTTAGGGAACTTTACTCTCCGTTTCCTAAATGTTATTTTTTTATTGTATTCTATTTTTTGTATTGAATGTTCAATATATTATTATAAAGTAACAACATTCACTGTAAACGGCGGCATCAGCACCATGTTGTATTTGTGAAATACCACTGGCTGGTTTACGCAAATAGAAAAAAAATCGATCTTTCATCATTATGGGTAGAACCTTATTTGACGTTTATTGCGCGTCTGTCATATTTTTGCAATCTAATACTGTTATTTCTGCTGATTTTGGTATGCTCTGTGTCGAGTCGAGCCTTTTAGTTCTTCCGTAATTCCTGTCAATCCATTGAAAATAAACATACTTTTAACGCCACAGCACGGTGTGTGTTGTTTATCACTAATAACTGGACATTTTGAGTTACGATCTTGCCGAGTGCGACTGTGATGCAATGTCTCAACTACTCATAAGAAAAGAAATAGTAATAACATAACATAACATCACGCCTTTTATCCCCGAAGGGGTAGGCAGAGGTGCACATTATGCCACTGTACAATGTAACACCCACTTTTCACTATTTATGTTATGAGTCCCATGTAATAGGGGGTGAGCCTATTGCCATATACCGGGCACAGTTCCAGACTCCGTGCTACTTCTTAGAATTTTTTCAGAACCTAGTAATACTTTGCCCGACCCGGGAATCGAACCCGAGACCCTTTGCCCGGCATTCGCACTTGCGACCACTCGGCTAATAAAATAATAATAATAAATAATCATTATTTTATTTATTGTATTTGTTTGTTTTCCTTCCCTCTGTAGGTATTTATAAAGGCCATGTCATGATACCTACCACATCTATGATTTGAGTAGGGCCTAGATATAACACTGAGCTATTGACTATTTTAGTAACGGTTCCTTCCATGCTTTGCAATTTCATGAAACGCGGGCGTTAGATTTAAAAATGCGCAAAATCTATATCAATAAGACTCGGTGAGGTAGACACATGTGTCCACCAGTAACTGGCCACCTGACATAGCTAACACGTTACAGATTTTACACAAATAAGTATGCTTCAAAGATACCAAGCCATAAAAACCCATTCAGACCGTTTTAAATAGCTTCTTTCAGTTAACTATTGATCGGACATAACCTCAAATAGTAATTTTATTTTGTGAATATCTCGAAAATGCCAATGTATTTTGTGTTAAATCTTTTGAGGTAGTATTTGGACATGCCATCGAATATTTTAAAGATTATTTCATGGAGACACAACAATGTTGAATTCAGTACATTTGTCCATAGTGCCGTGGGCATTCTCCTTTTGATATTTCCGAGGGAAAACAAAAGAATTGGTATATATGGCGCTGTGTGTATTAGTATATATCACATAGGCTACTTTTATCCTTTTGTGACGCGAGCGAAGCCGCGGGTAAAAGCTAGTAATAAATAAAACAAATAGAAATATTTATACAGGTATCCTTGAAGTCGAAGATCAAACGGCACCGGATAATCGGCAAGGTTCTAACAGTCATCAGAAAAATATAGAAAAAATGTTTAAATTACAATAACTTACGTGTTATCTTTTTATAATAACTATCGTGAGACATACTAAGTTAACTAAAAACTTCGGGTTACTCTCGTGCTCGTGAATATACTGAGAAAAGCTTTGCGCGACGTCGCCACGACCGCGCTCGCTGCTCATAAGGAAGAACCCCTCTGTGGTTCGAAACTAGTAGAGCTTTTCTCAGTATATTCACCTGAGTAACCCGCAGTTTTTAGTTAACTTACGTGTTATATATAAAAAGTACACCCTGTGCCGGTCTGTTGACTCGTGTTACTACAATTCTTTATTTTTCCGTCTGTATTATTACTTACGTTATCCTGAATAGTGCTTCAGTATTATGGAATCATAAATTCTGAACGAACAGCTATAGTTTGGAAAAAAATATAATTTTTTGATGTACCAAGTATATGTAATAAATTTTTTATCTAACTTTAAGTGACTTACTTTAAACGGCTGACTTATAGGATACTCTTTTTTCTAAAGGGCAAAGCCGCGGGTAAAAGCTAGTAAAAAATGTATAAGTGAATTTTTTTTTTAATTTACCCTGTAATTTTATTGGAGGGTAAGCACAGTGGCTTGTGTCTGTTCACATTCCATTTCGAAAATCAGTATAATAACTTACGCGACTGAGGATCAGACTGGTTTGCCCTACAACATCAATCTAACTTGACCATCTAACATTTATATTTAACAGGAGAAACAATATACAACGTCCTGAAACTGTCGGAGGGTCTAATAGGCCCCGACGATCGACCAGACCATCCCCACAAGATCACAAGCACGACGGTAATTATCAACCCTTTCACTGACATCGTGCCGAGGGTACAAGAGACCAGAGAAGAAGATAAACCGAAGAAGAAGAAGAAGGAACGGGTTGGGGTTAAGTGAGTGTTATTTTGAATGAGTGTAATCTTAACTTTTAAATGGCATTTCGTTTCTTTCTTTTTATAACCCATCGTGTGTGCATTTACGGGGATCCAATCTAGTTGCCCCCACACTAGGATTTTCTCCTGTGTCGTGAGTGCGTTTACAAACATACAAGTTCATATACACATGACACACAGACCCATCATTTTTTTTATGGCATAAACTAGTAGACGGATCACCTGATGGTAAGCAATTGACGTCGCCCATGGACACCTGGAACACCAGAGGCATTACAAGTGCGTTACCGGCCTTTTGGGGATTAGGAGTTTGAGAATCGTTGGAGATTCAGGGATTGGGGAGATTGGGGAAGGAGAAGGTAATTGGGCCTCCGTATAATAATCATAACAATTTCTGGGCCCTACAATGAGCTGTTTCATCCAAAAATTGTACGATATTCGCATGAAACAGCTCTTCGTGTACCATCAGGTCAATTCAAAAAATCTATAAATAGTTATTGTTTCTATATCCAGGAACTTTGGTCTTCTCTCATTCGGTGAGGAGGCTGAAGAAGATGAGGGTGAGGCTGCGGAGTACAGAGGGAAGCCCAAGTCTACGCACGACCTGCTGGAAGACCCCAAGTTGAGCAGTAAAACTGCTGCCGGTGAGTATATTTTTAATTGTTTATAGACTTTTTGTTGGTAGAATTCTGGTTTAATAATAAACTTCTAGGTGATATAAACAAACCTACAAAAATGAAACGGACTTGGATTCTCGAAATGTCAACTGACGACATCGAGAACGCGGGTTTTAAAAAAAATAGAACGGGCTTGATATAGATTTCTTGGACCAAGACTAAAGGTTGGATTTTCTGGTATATTTACGTGTTACAAAGTAAATTATTATTTATTTTTATCTCTGAAATATGTTAGTGTATCTTCTATTTGCTCAATTAAATCGTTAGTTGCTTCTTGCTCACACCATTAACTCTTCTCTGCATCACCCAAAGGTCAGACTGGGAGAAAATGCTTGCGGCATTAAGTCCATTGTACACGTTGTACATGAAGCATTAATAAAAAAATATATATGTAAGTTAAGATAATAGTGACATGAGGTTTCAAATGTACTAATGGGTTCGAATTAAATCAAATCTTATTACAAAAAGAATCAAATTACTATTTAACTCGTCGAGTACTGTCATTATAGACACAATTATAGAACAATAGGTTGCGGTCACCGGTGACCGCTTGGTGTTTGACAGTTTTTTTTTATTTTTTTTTATTAAACGTTGCCCCACACTAGGTCTTTGTCCTGTGTCGTGGGTGCGTTTACAAACATACAAGTTCACAAACACAATGACACCCAGACCCGAAACAACAATTTGTGGATCACACAAAGTGTTGTTCCGTGCGGGAATCGAACCCGCGACACGTTGCACGGCAGCCGGTTGCCCAGCCACCACACCAACCGTGCAGTCAAACTCAGTCAGTTTAACCCTACATCAGTCACCGATGCCCGACGCTAGTAGAAATTTGACTTTCACCATTTTAAGCTTGGCAGAAGTAAAGAGGCAGGCAACAACAACATAACATCACCGAAGGGGTAGGCAGAGGTGCACTTAATGCCACTGTACAATGTAACACCCACTTTTCACTATTTATGTTATGAGTCCCATATAATATGGGTGAGTCTATTGCCATATACCGGGCACGATTCCAGACTCCGTGCTACTACTGAGAATTTCTTAAAAATCCAGTAATACTTTGCCCGACTCGGGAATCAAACCCTTTGTCCGGCAGTCAAAAGTTAGTTGAAGTATTAACGAGCTATATTCTTATAATAACCAACCACTATTCCTTCTAGAACTGGAATTAGAAGAACAAAAACCTTTACCCGAGCCCACAGAAGAAGAAAAAGAAGAGAAAGTAAAAGAAACAGCAGCAACAGTAAGCAATATAAGAGATAAATTAAGTTCTAAGAAGCGAGGGAAGTCTCCAGAAGGAGATAGTAAGAGACAGAAGACGGAAGATAAAAGATCTAAGAAGAAAGAAGAGAAAACAGTTGAAGAGAAGAGAGAAGTTTCGGATAGTGATTCGGAGATTGAAGAGTATTATATTGGGAAGGAGAAGAATGATGCGAGGCAGAAGGAGAAGTGAGTTCTATTTTGGTCTTCTGTCTGCTTTTCAGTTTAATTTTCGAGTTGGAACCTCAACAGCCTGAAACTGTTAGATTATTACCAGATGACCAGTCCATTGTTACATTATAGGTGTCCTATACATTCTTATGTACTCCCTCCGGCAAGTGCCAATGTTGCCGATGATGCCGGTTTGCCATAATCGGCATCGGCACGTGGCAAGCGGGTTGGAGATCTACGTATTTAAGCTTAAAAAAGCTAGTCAGTCGATCTGATCAAATATGTAGTTCCTCATTTGACTACAGCCACAATTCGGTAGTCGAAAACTAGTGAAATTCAATACTTTTTTATTGAAATGTCAATAACGATACTTTTCTATAATTTCTATGTATTTAGTATTAAGATGACAACATAACATAAAATCACGCCTTTTTATCACATAGGCAGAGGTGCACATTACGGCACTTAATGCCACTGTGCAATGTAACACCCACTTTTCACTATTTATGTTACGAGTCCCATGTAATAGGGGGTGCGCCTATCGCCATATACTAGGCACATTTCCAGACTCCGTGCTACTACTGAGATTTTTTTTAAACCCAGTAATACTTTGCCCGACCCGGGAATCGAACCCGAGACCCCCTGCCCGGCAGTGGCACTTGCGACCACTCGGCCAACGAGGCAGATTGCAACATATGACGTCATCAAATTTTTGCGTCAAATCAACCACCTATTTCATTAAAATTAAATAGAATATTCAAAAAAATTAAACATATCGTCAAGTCAATGAATGAAACTACGATTATTTTTGAATGTTTGATTGTATTGAAAAGTCAAAATTATTTGTGTTTCACTTAGGAAACTACTCAATTATAATCTTCTAAACTAATTATATTTCAACTTTTACAGAGAAAGAATACAAAGCGAAATAAAGCAGCTGCGTAAAGAAATGAAAAATTCAAAAGAAGAGAAGATAAAAGAACAGAATTTGAAAGAACAGACTGAAAAAGAAGATGGTAAGGGCGATAAGAAGTCGGCAAAAGACAATGAAATGTACCAGAAGTATGTAGAAGAACAGGAGAAGTATAGAAAGATGAAGGAGAAGTTGCCTAAGAAGGGTGCTGCCAGGTAACATATTTTATTTATTACATTTTATATGGGATATACAGGAAAACGCGCAGGTGGATCACCTGATGGTAAGCAATCGGCGTCGCCCATGGACACCTGAAACACCAGAGGAGTTAGAAGTGCGTGTGCCGACTTAGAAGGGGGAGTGGGGATTAGGCCACTGGTTGGGTTATCAAACTTGTAAATAATTTATTACTAGTTTTAAACTGTCGAACACCAAGCGGTCACCGGTGACCGCAACCTATTGTTCTATAATTGTGTCTACAAAACCAGTATTCGACGAGTTAAGTGTGACTTCGTTAAGTTGTTTATAGATATTTTTATTTATACTTCTATATAAAATTGCATTTAATTGTAAGACTATAACGTCTGCATAAATTAAGCGACTTTTTGTTTAATACGTTAAACGCCATGGAGGTCACCGGTGACCGGCGTTAGCGGAGGATTTACCTTCAACAGTTTTTTATTAGCAGTCAAAGGCTTAAACCCTTTTAAATCGGTTTATCGGTTTAAAATTTGTAGCGCCACTATATCTATTAATGTTCTTTTCATCGAAATTGGTTCAGCGGTTTAGAATGTAAGCGTTTAGAAGTACAATTATAAGTACATACTACTTTTAAACGTATTAGCGATTTTTTAATAACCAAATTATCACGTTAAACGCTATGGGGTCACCGGTGACCGGCGTTGACGGAGGATTTACCTTCAACAGTTTTTTATTGGCAGTCAAAGTCTTAATGAATTACACATCAAAATTATTAAAAAAAAAATCTGAATCACGTTATCTCTTTTTGGAAGCTGTGTCAGATTTACCTCAAACCTAGTGAATGTTCGTCACAAAAATGAAGCCTGAAGAACTTATACAAGACACCACCATTTCAGAAACCCCCGCACGAAGCAGCCTAAACAAGTCCACAAGCGAAAACCATGGGTCAAGAACCTGTACGAAAACCGCGAATATCCAGACAACTATACCGATAAAAATTTCCTTCAAGAACTGCGCAAAAATTTGAACATCGAAAAAGTAACCTTACCCCAAGCCATTCAAGGCTCATTTCGAGTCGCACTACGCTTATGTATATGCGTTTTATACGCTATTATATACGTCTATATGTATAACAACTGGGTTCACACATACACAGTAATATACACGTCCATTATAGCTACTTTATTCAGCTATTTGCTGTATATATGTTTCGCTGGGTCCGCCATTTTGAGGCATTTAAAGACTGTTCTGGTTTACCTAAGTATTGGTTATTTACTGTCTCCGATTTTGCATACTTTAACTGATACAGTAAGTACAGACACAATATACGCTTGGGCTGTGATCATGATGATCATTCATTTGATATTTTTTGACTACAATGTGCCTGCAGCCTTAGTTTCGAAGTCTTTATCAATTAACGCTGCCATATTTGCTTCCGTATGCCTCGTTTCCCGACTTTCGACGCCTTTTGACGCGTTCGTTCTGCTAACAATCTCCGTCATACTATTTGTATTAAGTCCTCAGCTGTTTAAAACCATTTTGCAAACAAAATTGTTCAATATCATATATATAGTTACTCTTATATTTACAATTGTGGGTTTATATACCGTCTCAATGACATTGTTGTGTTATTTCGCGATTGTAGTCTTTATTCTTAGTTGTTATTGTCCATTTTTGTTTGTATATTGGCAGAAATATAAGGATAATAAATATGGGCCGTGGGATGAGGCTGTGATCAATGATTCTGATGACTTGGAGGAGTGCTTGTATGTCAAATCGTAGTGTTAGGTTAGATTGCACGGTTGGTGCGGTGGCTGGACAACCGGCTGCCGCACGACGTGTTGTGGGTTCGATTTCCGCGCGGAACAACTCTTTGTGTGTAGTATAGAAAATAAATATTGATTCAGTACAGATACAGTATCTGTTGTTGTATTTAATTGTTTGCTTTGTAACTTAGCCATATTTCTTGTAAACAGAAGTCTCTGTACTCAATTAATCTTTGTTTACTTACCTGCATATTATATTTATTTGGGTGGGTATACACATATATAAGATGAGATATATATGCGTGAAAATACTGAGTAAAGCTCTACTAGTTTCGAGCCATGGAGGGGTTCTTCCTCATGAGCAGCGTGCTCGGCCGCGGTAATGGCGAAGACAATAATTTCACGTGAGTAACCCGCGGCTTTTAGTTAATTTAGTATGTCTCAATTTATTACTATATCTTTTATTGCTAATATTAAACTTAAAACCCAGGTCAGGCAAAATAATTAATTGTTGATTTTTTCAATTTTGTAAGTTCCTACAATTAACACAACTGCCTCGTTGACCGAGTAGTCGCAAAGGCGACTGCCGGGCAAGGGGTTTCGGGTTCGATTCCCGGGTCGAGCAAAGTATTATTGGGTTTTTAAAAAATTCTCAGTAATAGCACGGAGTCTGGAATTGTGGCCGGTATATGGCAATAGGCTCACTCCATATCACATGGGACTCATAACATAAATAGTGAAAAGTGGGTGTTACATTGTACAATGGCATAATGTGCACCTCTGCCTACCCCTTCGGGGATAAAAGACGTGATGTTATGTTAATTAACATAATTTAAAATTGTTCCCAGTGTGCATATTTTAATATATGTTTAAATATTATTGTTATGTTAACTATTCTACTTACTCTTTAAGGGAATTGTAGGAGAGATGATATGTATGTATATAATGAAGTGATATTATGTCATAATGAGCCAAATATTATAATAAATTGAATGGATTTTAAAACCTTGTTTTATTATTTACTAGCGACCCGCCCCGGCTTCGCATGGATGCAATACGCATGTATTATACATATAAACCTTCCTTAAGAATCACTCTAGCTATTAAAGAAAACTGCATCAAAATCCGTTGCGTAGTTTTAACGATCAAAGCATACATAGGGACAGACAGACGGCGGATAGCGACTTTGTTTTATACTATGTAATAATTATTACCCAACTTAATAGATTTTTGTGGTCGGTAAACGAGCGGGTAGATCACCTGATGGTAAGCAATTGGCACATTCCATGGATACATGGAAGATTGTGCTGAACTTAGGTTTATATTTATGTATTATTTATGTACACACATATAACACAAAGGACAACACATATATAAAAACAGAGTACATAGGCCCCACATATTCCAACTGGAATTTTTTTTCCTGTGGGCCTGTCATATTCCAACTGGAATATCCTGTAGGCCTGTGGCAGGAAAAGAAATAACGACACTGAGACACATAGTGTGTTACACAAATAAGATAAAAATCAATAAAAAAATAAAAAGAAACAATAATACCGAAGAAACCAATGGCAATAACAATAATGAACAATAAAACAAATTAATATAATACAATTATGAAAAATAACCAATAAATAAATATGCCTACATATATATAAACAAACAAAACTATATTTTAGGAGGAAAGATAATGTTCTCTCACTTGTCTCTGAAAGATAGAGATTGACTTGGCGTCCCGAATGTTCGGCGGGAGCGAGTTCCATAGTATCACTGCATGAACGGAGAAGGAGTAGGAGTAGAAGTCGGTTTTATGGGGCACAATTTTAAGATAGGTTTTAAGATGAGAACGAAAATTAATTATTTATGTGAACACATGTAACACAAAGGACAACACATATATAAAAACGAAGTACATAGGCCCCACATATTCCAACTGGAATTTCTTCCTGTGGGCCTGTGGCAGGAAAAGAAATTATGACATCGAGACACAGTGTGTTACATAAATAAAGTATCTAATAATCAATTATTTTTTTTATATTACCGCCTCGAGGCTATTAGCTCGTGGTTTTAGGCGACGAGGTAATGGTCCTCACCTGAAAATTAACTAACATTTTATTATGTCAAATGGTTAAACCATGAAGTATGTGTGGACTAAAATTGAGTGATCGAGTGAAAAATAGTGTTATTAGAGAAAGGTGTGGATTGAAAGATGATGTAGTGACAAGGATTGAAAAGGGAATGTTACGCTGGTTTGGACATGTAGAAAGGATGGATGAAAGTAGAGTAACGAAAGAAGTATACAGAGCGGATATGAATGGGGCCGTCGGTAGAGGCGCCCTAGACGGACATATAGTGACCAGATTGGCGATATATTAAAGAAGGGCCAAATTAAAAGTACCCTTAACCGACGAGTATGCATGAAAGATTGATGACTGTTAATGAAGCGAAAGAGGTATGTAAGAATCGTAGTAATTGGCGTTCCTTAGTCTCTGCCTCCCCCCATGGGAGACAGGCGTGAAGTTATGTATGTATGTATGTATGTTAAACCACTGAATCTATTTTGATGCACAAATACACGTGGGCGCAAAGCAACAGATAATGGAATAGAATCGAATAGTAACACTGTACTACAAATTCAATTCTTTTAAAGTTACAGCTGAAACAGTGCATTTTTTTTTCATAGAAATATGCATAGTGAGCACAATTTAAGTGTGGGAGAGCCATGCTTCGGCACGAATGGGCCGGCTCGACCGGAGTGATACCACGGCCGAGCAGAAAAACCGATGTGAAACAACGCTTGCGTTGTGTTTCGTCGTGTGAGTGGGTTACCGGAGGCCCAATTACCCTCCCCTTGCCCAATCTCCCCAATTCCTGAATCCCCAACGATCCTCAAACTCCTAATTCCCCACCAGTGACCCCCATGGCGTTTAACGTGTTAATGGCCACAAAATTATAAATTAGGTATCTATTAAACTGTCAAACACCAAGCGGTCACCGGTGACCGCAACCTATTGTTCTATAATTGTGTCTGCAAAACCGGTACTCGACGAGTTAAGGGTCTAATTTTGTATAGAACTTATGTGTACTAATAATAGTTATTTCTGCTTTTTAGTTTTTACTTATTGTTTGTTATTAGTTTTTGGTTTTTTGAAGTTGGTTTTTTATTTATATGACACTAGCTTTTACCCGCGGCTTTGCTCGCGTCAGAAAAGGATAAAAAGTAGCCTATGTGACATATACCAATACACACAGCGCCATCTATACCAATACTTTTGTTTTCCCTCGGAAATATCAATTTTTTCCGGGATAAAAAGTACCCTATTATTTAATCTGGACTTCTAACTTTACGTCTGCAAAAAATCAAAGCAACCGGTTTAGTAGTTACGGCGTGAAAGCAGAACAAACAAGCAAACAAACAAACTCACTTTCCGATTATTATAAAATGAAACTCGTTTGAATTCTCGCAACAGACTAAAACCCACTTTTTACATAGACAATTACAGGTAAAACAAAACGCTTCATGTTGACACAAACATTCTCATAGATGGCGCTAATATATATTTTGTTACATAGTTCTATTACATTTTAACACCGATTTATAATATTAGTAAGGATACGTTACCAATTAATAAAATACTTGTATCAGAAAATGTTTATAAAGAAATAAAAAAGAAATATAGCTAGTTGGTCCGTTTTGATCCTATAGTTCGATTCCCGCGTCAAGTAATAACAAAATATCTTAATTTCAGGGAAGACTTTACGTTACAACTGTTAGCAAAGTTCAAGAACAAACTTCACGCTATTAAAGAGAAGGCGGTAACTGAAGGGGAGCCGGCAGAGAAGGTAGAAGATAATGATGATGACGTGAATTCTGATGATTGGTGAGTTTCGACTCTATTGTGAATTGAATAAAGTTCAAATTAGAGGTAGCGTCAGTTATCGAGCATGCATGAAGAGATTGACAAATGTACACAGGTCTCAATCTTCGGTAACAGCAGAGCTTCCATAATTGTGCCCTATTATAACAATGG